TTTTTTACTTTTACTTGAAAAATCTTTTGCTCATCTACAAAAGCGAATGAAAAAAACTGCTAAATAGATTCAAAATTTTATCCTGAGTTTAAAAATACCTAGTGTTTACGTGCTTTTTTGCTTTTTTTTTGCATGTTATAGGGCTATAGGTACAAGTAGGATATTGCGGTTTCAAAACATACATTTTTAAAATTTATCAATAGTGACATTGTAACACTATTATCTGTCATAAATCCCTGAATAACACCCCACATGTACATATTTTTTTTAAAGTAGACAACCCAGGGTATTCAATATGGGGTATGTCCAGTCTTTTTTAGTAGCCACTTAGTCGAAAACACTGGCCCATATATTTGACCTTGTAACTTTCAGAAATGCTATAAAACCTGTACATGGGGGGTACTGTTTTACTCAGGAGACATCGCTGAACACAAATATTAGTGTTTAAAAACTGGAAAACTTATCACAACAATTATATCATCAGTAAAAGTGCTGTTTGTGTGTGAAAAATGCAAAAAAAGTCACTTTCACTGACAATATCATCGCTGTGATATGTTTTACTGTTTTGAATCACTAATATTTGTGTTCAGCGAAGTCTCCCGAGTAAAACAGTACCCCCCATGTACAGGTTTTAGGGTGTCGTAGAACGTTACAGGGTAAAATATAGTGCTAGCAAATTAAATTCTCTGGAATTTCGGCCTGGGTTGGCAGGCAGGTCCCTCAAATTGCAATCAATAAAATTACTTAATTATGTAAAAATATTACATAAATACGCACGTAGAATTTAAATATATATGCATATTTATATATTTGAAGTCTACGTGTATATTTATATAATTATTTATGTAATTTTGTATATGGATGTATGTATATTTCTTATTATTTTTATTTATTTTTATATACATAGATATATATACAAATTCATTCTAAGTGTATTTTGATATAAATATATATATATTAATTTTAAAATACAGTTAGAATAAAATTTCATATAGCTATATAATTTTTTTTAAATTTTTTATTATTATTTAAAAAAAATTTTATTTAATTTAAATTACTTATTATTTATATTTTATAATAATATATATATACAATATATATAGTTATTATATATATTATATATATACGTGTGTAATTTAATTATAAGTGTATTTTTATATTAATATAAGTACATATTAATATAAAAATACACTTAGTATGACATTATATATATATGATATATAGACATATATTATATAGATATAATATATGTCTATATATCATATATACACATATATAATTATTTTTTATTTTTTATTAACATTAACTTTATTTATTTTTTCTGATTTTACACTAGCAGGGAGACTGCCTGTCAGCACAGACAGTCCCCCTGCAGGCAGACACATGGACACCTATTGTGACCATGTGATCGCTGTGTTAAGCGATCACATGGCCACAGGGGTCCTAATCTGCCGTGGGGAGACTGTCTGGGCTGCAGACAGTCTCCCCACAACCGGAGCCACGCTGATCGCCGCCGGGGGAACGACGGCGATCAGGTAAGTAGCTCTGACCGTTAGGACGGTTCAGGACCGTCATCGGTCGGCAATGCAAAAATGCCGATGACGGTCCTGAACCGTCCTCGGTCCTTAAGGGGTTAAATTACATAGAATTTTGTGTTATGAACAGTAAAATTAGAGACTATATTAAGGAAAGTTTAAAATTGTAAATCTACAAGCTGGCCCCCTAGCATAAAGGGCCTGCACCCCCAGCAAAGAGCTGGGAGACACTCCCAACTGGAGAGGAGTGGCAACGCCGTATGGCCCTAGACACCGACGGCCCCACACCCCGGCCCCTCGAAAGCATATGTGACACACAGCTGAAAGCATCTACCTGCTGGTCTTTAGCCTGACACACCGGATAACACAAACTATTCGTCTGTTGTTTGTTAACCCTGTGCTCACAATCCCCTCACCATCCGTATACCTTTACCAAGAACACTGGTTTGATATATCTGGGGCTCCCACTTGGACCCCACTGAAACGTCCAACTCTTCCCTACTGTGTTTGACCAGGTTTTCCTAACACCCGATAATGAAAAAGTTCATAAAATGCCATTGTTCCATTGTATTATTATCAATGTAACTAAAAAATGAAGAATGTAAAAAAAAAAAAAAAAATTGTACATCTAGCAACAACCTTTGTAGATCTGGTTACTTTATGGCAATCATATAAAGACTATGAAATGGACAAAGTATACACCATAACCATTTTCACTGGTTGTGATGAAAATATGATGGTGTCTGGAGTCCATGAGCGCAAGGTCTTGCATCACTGCTAAATGCTTTACTTATTATTTAGCAGTGATAATCAGCCCTGGTAGCCCAACCCAGAACGATGAAATAGCAGAGGCAGACTATGCTCAACTTCATGCTATACCAGGGATAACGGAGTGTCACTCATAGCCAATCACTGCCTCTATAACTGGTATGTGTCGGTATGAGTCGAGGCAAAATATGCTGTTTAGCAATTATGCTAAATAGCTGTAATTTAACTGTAAATTGGCGGTGTTCCTGCCCCAATTTTAAAAGTGGCGATTTCTAAATATGCCTTTTTTAAAAACCGTCACAAATGTGTTAGACTCGAGACACACTAAGTACTGCAGCAAGCTGAAGTGCGTTATGTGTGTGGAGAGTTCCTCTAAAGACTAAAATGAGGACCACCCTGTACATATGGATGTTTTTAATATACTTAGCGGGTGGATACACCTCTCACTTGATCTAGGAGTTAAGGAACTTGCATTTTGGCTTTTTCTCCTCTTGATTAACTGATGACTTAGTGTCAATTGCACACGAGCTATAAAGCTTCAAAGACGGGCCAAGATTCCAGAGGTTTTTCTCTATAGACTTTCATTCTCTCTTCAATTATTGTCCAAGGAATCCTTAATCTAAATAGCAGCAGTAACTATACGTTTCATTTTTTTTTTCAATCTGAAACAGCATTTTATTTTAACTTTGATTATGATTTAATTCAAGACAGGTTTCCTTTTCCCTCTATCAGCATTTTTACCTCAAAATTCCTTCTGTTAGATTAGTCTCGACTACATATTTTTTTACTTCCTTATTCAGCTCTCGGTCATGTTTCCAATTTGCTTTCTGATGGTTTCTTGCAATGGATTGAGCTCACTGAATCATTATTTCATTTAGATCCACGCATAAAAGCCCCATATTTTTATCGTTAGACAGAGATAGGAAATCCTACAAATACAGCAACATGCAGATCTTGAAATTAGCAGGTAAGGAAATCTTATCCCAAGCTTCAAAAAAAAGGGAGGAGAAGGGATAAGGTTTAAATTAGAAGCCAGAAGGTCATGGTATAACAGGCAACATATTCCCATTTTCACAAAATAAACACACTGACACACCACAGTAAATAGTCAAAACTTTATGTTAATGTATAATGGCCATACCACAAGAAATATGATTTTTCTAGCTCTGCATATCCTTGTGTATCAGTGAACTTGACTAATGCAGGTTCTAAATTATATAGCATTTTTAAAGGAAAACTCCAGTGGCACAAATAAACCTTTATTTATAATGCTGGGGTATATAAAAGTCTACTTAGATAATTGGACCCCTCCACATTGCCACTACTGATGATCTCTTGGCCAATCGTTCTCATAGAGAAGCATGAGAAGGCTGGGCACATGCGTGGCATATACTGCAAAGAGAAGCATGCTTCTGTGAGGGAAGCACTGTCTCCTGCTTTGTGCCGGGGGCCTCAAGTACCCTCGTAGCTGTATTATTGACAGCCAGGATGGTGCAACCCAGGCAATGTCTCTTGAAAGAGGCCCTATTATAAAGTAAGAAAGAGACACTCTATTAACTCCTAAATCACTTCAGCAAGCTGGTTAGGAATGTTGCATTCTGATGTTGCTCAGAGATCAGAGGAGAAACAACAAACACTTCTCTTTTTAGACTAGGACAGTAGTATTCAGATTCCAAACAACAACAAACATAGACATTTGCTTTTTTTTAAAAACTGGTTCATAGGTCACATAGGGTATGTAGTTAACAAACTGATGGAGTGTAGGTATGTGAATCCCCTTTGACCAGAAAGTGAATAAGTATACACACTGTTCTGTGTAAGTTCCCTATGTTCTCTAGATGTTAATAGTGTTCGCTTATAAGTCTCTGACCAACTGCGTTCCAAGCTATGTAACCTTAGTAAATCCCAAACCGCAATGGTTCCTGCTCTGTGCATTATCCGGTTCCCAGATAATAGGGCAAACCGTTTCGCTATGGTTTGTCATCTGACCTGTGTCTTCGCTGGGCTCCAAGTCTCCTGGGATGGTCGGTGCAGAGCTGCAGCAGCTAGAAGCCTATCCAGTAGCCATTCGTTGTCTCTCATCCAACAACTGCAAAAAAAACAAAAAACAGTTCCAAAGAATTTACATTAACCAGCCCTTAATTGTAGCTCTGGGCTGGCTTATGACACCCCATGATTCTGATTCTGGAGATGGAGTTACAAGCGGTTAGACTCTGTATGTGCAGCATTTCACAGCAGATATGTCCAATCACGGACTTACTAGCAATTCAATGAGAAGTCTTTCAAGGTAGAAATCAAGGTAGGTGCTCTGATTGCTCTATTTGCTCTAATTGCTGCCTCTTCAGTTTTGCTCCAATGAGCTAACCAACCAGGAAGTAACAGGACCAGTTGTCTGATTAACAAGGTTAGTTTATAAATGTGCCAATTTCTATTGAAATCTGCACTTTTTGTGAATGAAAAAGAGGACACAGTATTCACACATAAAGCACTTCAGCAATCTAAAGTGCTTTACAAATCTGTAGTATACCTTCAAAATCATTGATTTAATATATGTAATAATGTATTTTACCTTCATTAATGTCTGTGATGCAGTTAGAAAACCCTAAAATGAACGTGGGGGAGGGCAAGTTGGGAGCTGTTGGGGACTGGCCACGGCTCTGCCGCCTGTGTTTTGTTTCTGGGGTGACTTAGCTGAGGTCACGGCTCGACACCCATGAATGAGCCTTGGTTGGTGATCCAGCGGGGACTGAAGCCCATGAATGAGCCTTGGCTGGTGATCAGGCGAGGATCGAAGCCCATGAATGAGCCTTGGCTGGTGATCCGGTGGGAATCGAAGCCCATGAATGAGCCTTGGCTGGTGATCCGGCCAGGATCGAAGCCCATGAATGAGCCTTGGCTGGTGATCCGGTGGGAATCGAAACCCATGAATGAGCTTTGGCTGGTGATCTGGCGGGGCTCGAAGCCCATGAATGAGCCTTGGCTGGTGATCTGGTGGGGATCGAAGCCCATGAATGAGCCTTGGCTGTTGTTCCGGTAGGAATCGCTCGGGGAGGGGGCATGGACACCCTTGGAGCAGGAGGTGTGGCACAAAAAGCACTGCTATCTCTTTTCAATACTGGGTCCATGCCAGTTAAGTGGATAGCACAATATCCAGCTCATCCCATCACGCTCTGTGCGGGGCCTCTCATTCCCTGTCCCACTCCCTAGTGAATACATCTACTAGGGCGAAACATAGACACTTGCTCAAGGTCTGAGGGTTTATACTAACAACATACATCAATGTCACATTTTGTAGTAGTTTGGTTTCTTCTTTTCTTGTTCTTTATGTTAAATATAAAATTCTGTTGACTATGTGTACTTGAACAAATGTCCCGAGGCAGAAAGTATGGCTATACAGTATATTTTATGTCAAACAACATGACAATGCAATGTTTTATACCTGTCATTTACTAATGCCAAATATGTAATCTGCAATGTGACTTTACCGATCTGTCTCGTTGTCAAAACCATGTCTTTTACATAGATCAATATTAAATGTAAAAAAAAAAAATCGACAAAACTTAAAATGGAAAACTAAACACGACAACAAAAGTAAAAATTACAATTTACGTTTATGCAATTATTCTGTGATTTAGCTACAGGTTCTGAGAGTTCCTATGCTTCTTCTCCCTCCCTTTTACAGCCCGCCCTGAACAAAATCTTCTATTAAACAATATTAGTTCTGCTAGAGCTAATTAGGAATGTTAGTAGTTGTCTTATCCTTTTGAAGATAAGCACTTAACATAATAGTCTAACGGTGTTACTTAAAAATAGACATTTTTATGATCAAGGGGAAATTCCCAACGGTGTTGGAATTAATAAATGCACGTAGGAATATGAAGTGTCGTTATGTATATTTCCGACCCCTGGGCAGTCTCTTAACAGATTTTTTTTTTTTTAAAGTATTTTCTGGCTCTGTATATTATTGGCACCTTCTTATCTGCTGTTAATAGGCCAAGAGGCTGTTATACACACAGTGTTGGTGTGTGTACATTGAATGGGTAAAGGAGGATCCAGCTGTGTTTGCTGTCCAGCTTTAATGACTGTGAGATCAGTTCAGTTCTTTGATTCTGGTCTTTTGGTTTGAAGTGAACATTAACTGATGCTCCAAAGACCTCATCCAGTTAATTGTTCTGGCCCTTTATGAAATGGAGAGGATTGAGATTAGAAGTGGCTGGCAAGGCTGGGCTTGAGTATGAAATAGTAGGTTCTACTGTGGGAACAAGAAATCTTTGTAAAGCTAAAAAAAAAAAGTTTTTTATTGAATATAATATTGCAAAGAATAACATGGAATATATTAATTGCAAGTGATGAATAATCCCCAATTATATATACATTGATACTTGCTTTATGAGGGGTCTGTACCACCTGTGTTTTGGCACACCTAGGGATTCACTTTTTGGAAGGTGAAAGTGAGCATTTACTCACATGATGTTTTGTTCACATGATGCAAAGTATTTGTCCATCCCAAAACTAGCAAGATTGCAATCCTTGCTAAGGTTCAAATGATTCTAATAGTAGCATCTCCACTTTAACCATTAAAACGTTTTACACCTGTTCATTACATGAGGAATCCTGGAGAACTGTCAGGAAATGTGTACATTTTTAGCCCGAATAGATAAATTTCAAAAAACAAAATCTCCATCTCAGTTGTTTCTTGTGCAGCTTTCCAGGGCTAAAATACACAAACCCCTTGTCAGTTCTCAACAGTTTCTGGATTAGACAATGAACCCAAGTGTTGGGCAAATGGTCACAGCTTTGCCTACAAAATCAATATAAATTTTATACATAAATATCTTCGCGACTGTTCAAAACAGAAAGCCTGAAGGTATTTTCATCCTACTTTTCTCTGGAAGCTTTAGTCTCCTGTTGTGCCTTCAGCCAGAGGATAACATAGTCATTTATAATGAAAAAAACACCACAGACCGTGAAGCTCAGCTTTACACAATTTTCCTGAATCTCTAGTTGTTAAATAGTAATATAGGTTGAAGAAAATATTCAAGTGCATCATGTGTAACTTCTCACAGGTCTAAGAATCTGGCTGTGATCCAAAAGAAGACGAAAAATCCTGTCTGAGCAATTTCCAGTTGTGTCATATAAAGAGAAAAGCATTCCTTCTTGTGTTTAAACCGACAATCAGATTTATTCTTGGATAAACATGCTATTAATGGTTCCTACTACGGTCCTAAATATCCTGAATATCTACTGAACATTTTAAAAACAAGCAATATTCACAGTGAATTCCATATATTTACAGTTCTTACTGTAAAGAACACTTTACTGTTCAATAGGTGAAATCTCTTTCATTCAAGTCCCTTTCGATTACCTTTTTTTATTGTATCAGGTTAATAGCAAGTGTTTTGTACTGTCCCTGTTTGTATTTATACATGGTTACATATGCTTTTTTTCAAAAGTATATAAGTACAACTTTTTTAGTCTTTCTCTAGTAGTGGCTATGGTGCCAGGAGTAGTCCATCTTCCTCTCAGATCAATTTAAGAAGTGCCTTAAAACCCATCTCTTTAGGAAAGCTTATGGCCTCCCAGAGTAACCTCTACCTTACATACCTGTCTCCTGCTCTCTTCTAAATGACAGCACTCTACTCTCTCCTCCAGCTCTGCTTCACTCCCACCTTATTTGATTGCTATTTCCTGTCCTATTGTGTTTTACACCCCACCTCTTTTAGAATGTAAGCTCATTTGAGCAGGGGCCTCTTCAACCTATCGTTTCTGTAAGTTTTCTTGTAATTGTCCTATTTAGAGTTAAATTCCCCCCTCATAATATTGTAAAGCGCTATGGAATCTGTTGGCGCTATATAAATGGCAATAATAATAATAATAATAATAATAATTTGTCAAACTGCTTTAGAATGGTTTGAGATCTTACCTAGGTCTCATGGGCACCACTGCACCACATTCAGTCATTTTGCAAGAGAGGCTAGATGTCTTCATTGAGCTAAGCAGGACCAATACTGGACTGTACTTACTGACTGAGACCACCCAGCTGAGTATCTCAGCAAGGGGGCACTGGCCCGCATGGCCCTCTTTAGTTCAGTGGGGCTTTTAGAAGATTTTGGGAAAAGGGCTGCGGCCAGGGTTACAGGTGGGGCCCAGATAAGTTGTCAGGCCACAACTGCTGTACCTTCGATGAAGTTTCTGGAACAAAAAAAACAACAACATTAAGTACGGTCACAGCCGATTTATGAAAATCATTATCTTGTGAAACATGTTACTGAAATAGGTTCGTTAACACAGATAATGATCCAAAACATATTGGACCTCAAACACCGGGTTTAACCCCCCAAAAAGTTTGCCAAGGTCTGAAGGTGTCCACCCTAAAACCAGTTTGGGGGTTGTATACCCGAATTCCTGCTGCTTACTTGAGATTTTCTGCTCCTTACCTGAGATGCCCAGTTCCACGCCCAATCAGGAAGCTTTCACCGATCATTGCCACCACTGATGAACCAGTGCATTACCTTAATACATGGCAAGCTCCTGCCCATGACTGTGACAGAAAACCAAAACCACAACCTACAGGGAGAGAAAGTGGGACAAAACTTCACAGGTAATTTGAAACTAAAATGGCCCCTGAACCCCTGAGTGACCACTACGTATAACTTACTGACTCCTTCCCCCCACTTTCTGCCTGATTACTGATATTCTAGCTCTACTCAGTCCCCTGTCAAGGCTCCCTCTGGTCTATTCTGAGCCCCTTTAGCTACATTCTAAAACAGTTTGAAAAATTACTTTGGAGGTACAACAGGGAACTACTATTACTATAACCACTATAGAGGGCTCCTTATTCTTTTTTTTTTTGCACACTTACAGGGTTATTTACTAATGTGAGAATTGCAGGCAATTAAAGTGAATACAAAGTGAATTTCAAATTTAAGGTTAAAATAGCTGAACCAGAAACATTCTACCAGTCAGCTATGCTTTCAATTCAACTACTTTGGCCTTCAATTTGAAACTCACTTTTAATTCACTTTGACATTCTTGCAATTCTAACTTTAGTGAATAACCTTGTTATTATCATAATTCCATTATATAACTCTCTAAAACCAATGACAAAAATTGCACTTCATATTCAAGGTAAATTATATTTTTGTCACATATCTGACAAATATCTCTTTGTATACAAACGTCTGTTGTCTGAAATTATTCTGATGTTGTTCATTCTCGTCTAACAATATCTCTCATTTAACACTATTTAGAGAGTATTTTGCTTGTTTCTTCCCTGTCCCAAAATGGATAACTGCATTTTTCTACAATAAATTTAGTCTTCTCAACTTGCGTGCCCAGTCCATTAATTTATCCAAAGCATTCTGTTCAGACAGCTTTACTGTGAAACACGTAGAGGGTGTGTTCTAACGACACAGTTACATCACGCAAGATCTTCTGAACTCCTTAAGGTGTGTTTTTCAATTTAAATTTTTTTTCCACATTGATTATTTTGATTACTAATCAGCTGCTTTACCAGCAGTTCTAGGATTAAATCAATTATTTTTGTCTAGTTATTGGCTATCAGTTCTCCTTCATACCAGTCTATATCTACATTGAGTAAGTCTTGCATGTGTTTGACAATATTTGGATAATGATTTAACGATCTGTTGATTATGCAATGCTTCACTTTAATTATGTGACATTTGTTATGCATGTTTTTAATCACTTGCACTGCTATAAAAAGCAATTATTTGGGTGTGTTTGTTTACTTGAAAAAGACCTATTAGGTTGAAACGTTGTTCTGTGTTACAGGTTTCCAATAAAAATTGCCCCTAATGCCTCGTTTCCACTGAACTGTTTTGAGTGTTTCCATTATGAAAGTGGCCCATACAACCGAACCATACTGCACCATTCCTGGGCCCCCTTCAGATGTAGGTCCATAGGAAATGGTACAGTACGTTACAGCGGAGCTACTGGCGTCACCCTATACAATCCATTGATTGTCGGAAAGGAAAACATCAATACTCACGAAAAAAGACATGCTAGGCATTTGGTCTAAACCCCACATGCCCCCTGGCGGTCCGACT